ATTGAAATGTATAGTCTAATCAAACTAAAGGTAGTAATATAAGTAATTGGGGTGTGCGATAGACTTACCTCCACGTGAAACACCCTGGGCAACGTATACTCATACGGCAAAAAGTCTATTAACCGGCAGTTGACTTCAAACTACCATGACTCCACTGAATGACATATTCGACCACTTCCACGGTACTACACTACACTTTTTCTAAATTTTCAACCTTCGTCGTTGAAACACTCTTCAGTTCCCCACCTCTCGACTTTTTTCACTTTGATGTTCCTTCCATTCTGTGAAGCATGAAGTCAACTAAAGGACTAATGATAACCATCAAAACGCCTGCCATTTGATATAAATAAAATAATTTGTTAACTTGGAATGACTCTCCAAAAATTTCTAACATTTTTTAATAAATATTTATTTAATTCCATTTTTATTAAAAAATGTGTTTTCTTCTTCTTACGTTCGTCTTTACTGTGTTCAATCAACGGATTTGGGGGATAACTATTACCGGGTTTACAATGCCCTTTTCAGATTATTTAAATTTCATTTAGTAATCCTGTGACCATGGTGATTATTGCGCTGCCGTTGTGAACGCTAGGTTTTACTTTCTTGTTAGTGCTATCTTTTCAATTTCGAGTTTACACCACCTCCATTGCGTAATACACGTCGGTTGCTTTCTAGTCTAAGAGTTCTGTTTTGGTTGATTTTGACATCTTTGGTGACAGCTGCTGTCCTTAGAATATCAATAGGCGAGCAAGCACATATTAAATTACAAACGATAGAAAGTATTCACCTTAAAATTCCCCCCCTAATGTTTGAACCTATTATCCAATTTCAGCTCTCTTTCAGGTCAGCTCAACTTTGTAACTGGCTCACTTGATGCTCAATGTGCAAGAATCCAGTCTTCATCAAACGAGAGGGGGGGGGGGTATTTAGACCAATTACACGTCAAGAAATGCGCCCTTCTAATTTACTTAAACTTGCTTCCCATTTTACCAATTATCCCCCTTCCATAAGTTAATCCCAATTAGTTTTCCCATTCATAAGATGTAAATATATTTCGATTTTATTAACTAATTCATTGAAAAGCAAATAAGTTAAGCATTTCAGATTTCTCTTATTTTAATCTTCTCGGACCATCTCTCCAATTCATGCTCATTTTCGAATATAGAGACGCTAAGGGTATCAGGAACAGGATTCTTACAACCCAATGAAAGCTCTGCAGCTCTCATTCCGCCAATCAGAGTTTTCTTCCACGGCCAATTTTTCATGTAATGAAGGTAGATCATTACTCCAACTGAGGTATCTCCTGCACCGGAAACGCTTGCTATTGAGGCTTGGTCCACGACTGGAGAGGTGAAGTGATAGGACATGTCTTGGTTAACAAATATGACTCCATGTCTCCCCATTTTTACTATCCAATTGGTTGCTAGACTCAACAAATTCTTCTTCATTTCACCGACACAGTTAGTTAATGAACTAGTGGATGTTGGATCCACTTCAATCTTCTTTCCAACAACTCTCTCAAATATCGCTTTGAGTTCTGTCAGATTTGGAGATATCGCATCAATAGTGCAATCATGTTTAATTGCATCTATAATCTTTGTGCATTTGTGCAGGTCTGTCGGCTCATACCAGAATGGAACTTTGTGAGATTGTGCCAATGAAACCAATTTTTCCAAGGTCTCCACATTCACATTTCCATCAGAGAAAATAACCTTGAGATTGGGAGGTTCAATATTTTGTAATTCACTTTCAACAAAATCTGCGGTCACTTGCTTATGAATGTCCATGTCAGCAACGCCAAATAACAGCTCACCAGTTGGATTGAGAACTCCAATATATTTTGCAGTGCGTGATGAGGAGAGAGGTGCAGGAGCAGTCTTCCAAGAGATAAATGGGTGCTGTTCAAACAAATTCTTCCCATCGAAGTCGTTAGAAACAGCGGTCAGAAAAAGATGGGATGGAGAGAGTCTTCCAACAGCTTCGGCAACATTTCGACCAACGCCGCCTCCTCCTAATGTTTCAAGAGTTCCAGGGTAACTCGCTGGAGGGTAGATATCTTTAGTAGTCTTCAACTTCTCTGGTTTCAGCTTCATCGCCATGTCTACGTTCGATCCACCAACAATGATAATCTGAGGACTGTGCTTCTTCGAGGTTCTGTTCCGATTACCTGAAGGGTCGTTTAAAATTCCCGCTAGTCTAACAGCCGTCTGAGCTGCGAACTTGGCGTTGTTTAAAACGAGATGGACGTTAGCTTCTAGGGATGCGTCACCTGTGAGTTGCCGGACCCTTTCGAGCATAAAGGGGGTAACATCAGCTCCTGAAATATTGGCCTGTATTGATTCGATATGTGCCTGTTCGATGGCTTGGGCTATTGCCTCCCCCACAGCTTGCATGTTCTCTGGAATTGGTACGGCGAGGAGCATTCCAGAAGTGGGGCGAATAGCCAGTGAAGTTGCAAAGAGTTTCGCAGCTTCTTCTGGAGTGTCAACTCTTCCAGGAGATTTGCAACCGGAATTTCTTGTAAAGAATGCCGGAAATATATCGGTACCAACACTTGCGATCGTCACTCCCTTTGCTTCTAGCACTTCAAGTGTCTTTGGAATGTCCAAGATGGATTTCACACCAGCTGATACAACAGCAACAGGAAGAGATTGTAGAGCTAGAAGATCTGATGAGACATCCATACTTATCTCAGCTCCACGGTGTACACCACCCGTGCCACCGGTAGCGAACACACGAACGCCTATATTAAACACGCAAATACTGTGCTAGATTCAAATTTATGTGCATACATGCTACTTAAATATGTGGCCCACCTGATAGGTTGGCAGCAAATGACGTGGCAGAGACAGTGGTACCAAAGACTCGTCCAGAGTCCTTACAATTAAGAGCGAATGGGAGATCACGAATTGCGACTTTTTTGGCATTGCCTTTGACGGAGGCATCAATTAGGCGTTCAATGTCAACTGATGAGAGACCAACACGGATACGTGAGTCCATGATGGCAATTGTTGCTGGAATTGCTCCATTAGACCTTAGAGTTGCCTCCGCATCAGCAGCGAGTTTCAGAGCTCGTTCAGGAGGTAAACCATGGGTTAGGATAGTGCTCTCTAGTGCAACTACTGCGCGACCTGACGATACTGCTTCTCTGACTTCCTCCGAAACGCACATGAACTCCGATGCCGCTGTGGAGATCGAGTGTTTGAATTGATGGGTTTGTGTGGTCAAATATTTCTTAAGTGCGGGTTTAAACAGTTGACGGAGGCAAAACATTCTGAACTAAAAGATGGACTAATTACCACAAGTGGAAAGCTTAATTACATATTGAGAGACTAATATTGGAAGTTTTGAATTATTACAGGGTAGCTCAATAATGCATAGAATGGGTAATTAACTCTTAAAGCAGGCATAATATATTAGTATCAATCTGAAATCGCAGCGAACATACCTTTACAAACCAATTGCAATGCTATTTTCACCGAGAGAGAGAGAGAGAGGCACTATGTTTCGAGTGTGAACTTATATATAGCATAGAGGCCGGAGGGATTGTTTACTAGACGGAAATGACTTGAAAATATCAACAATTCTTAGTGCGACGGTTGAAAGACGGTGACCACGCCTGTTAATTAGCTGGATCTTGCTAGGTTTCAACTTCCTGACAACATTTACCGGTATTGTTTATTAGTTAATTTAGAAAGGTTACTTCACTGAAAATTTGGTGTCATGAATCCTTTAAGTAAATCCTGATATCTTCAGTAATGACAGACCAAGTATGCTATTAAACTGAAAAAAATACAACTTTGAATAATTTTCATGTTAAATGCACTTTTACTCGGGTAGAAAAATTGTATTCAAGAGGAGATATGAGTGACATAAAGAGGATATCTTTCCGTTACGTTTTTCATGTCTATTAGTACATCGGGGCAGATGACACGGCAACTATATAGTAAGTGGTTAGTATTTTGTGCCAAAAATGTTATCAAGACCATTAAACGTCGTTGTGATAAGAATAATCTCTTAAAAATATGTGAAACGTTAATAAATATCAGAATTTGGATAGAGTATCTATGAATTAGATCAACTAAGAGACATTGCAGTTTTCAGGTCAGTGATTAATTAATCCGAAACAGAATAGAGTGAAATAAGTTATCGCATCTTTACCTAAAGCATATGGTTGTGGTACAGTTTTAAATTATGATAATGGTATCGATATTGATATGATTTAGTCCACATTTGCTTCAGAGAGAGAGACGGAGAGAGAGAGAGAGAGAGAGAGAGAGAGAGAGAGAGAGAGAGAGAGAGACAAAAAGGGAAAACCTATGGGCATATAAAATATGACTAGCATAGATTAAATATTTATGGGATCGATTTAAACCTTATAACCTCAATTGAGTTGTGGCTTAAATCATATTTAATGACGATTAAATTTCGCGCAATATTAAGCAGAATATGATTGGACAAACAACGGTCAAGTACATGGATGACAATGGACATGTTACTGATGTCGGTGATATTGCTATTTCGATGCCCGAAAAAGCACTGTTTGAACCATATTTCAAATGATAATTAACAAAGCATAAGTTCGACTCGCTTTCGGTTTGTCCCAAAATGGAGTGCAAATAATCTATGAGAAATCAGTAGATTTGTTTTGCATATCTCGCACTGGATAAATTAAAGTGAATTATAAAATGAATAAGCAAAAGTACCCATAAATTTTTGGTATTCTTTAATGAAAGTCAAAGCATGTGTAAGATAGATATAATCAACTGATATTCACGGAGACATGAATTTAATATTTTCATGTTAAATTTTCATCGTTGTTAATTTGAAAAATAATCTACAATTATTATAACTTAATTAACATTTGTTCGTTTATATAAAGACCTGCATAATTTTCGGCTCCAAAGCATATTAACGTGTAGATATATATTTTGTTTGCAAATATCATTTTGAAGCAAGAGTCAATTAGCTCTCCAGATTTTTATAAGTTTTAAAAATTGATTAAATTACAAGAAGAAACTATTAAATCTTATTTGTGGTCTTAAAGAAATGAATATAAATGAGTGCACAAATCCTCTAATAACATAAATCCATTTATTGAAACTACGTTATCCATCACTAAAATTCTAACACAATTAATAATACTGACCATACAATCATAAATAATGATCTCTATATTTTCGGTTGTCTAGAATTGTTTCGACGAACTATTAAAATTTAAATGCAAAACAGGCAGTTAAATTTGCCTCAATTTCTGTTCGTTCGGTGATCATGGAAAGCCAGTTATATCATCTATGATCTTAATTTTTACCTCACTTCAATATTTAAATTGATTGTTTAATGGTTTAAATTTCAAAATTTCATGTTCAAGTAGGAATAATTTTCCTTGATCTTTGTTTTACCTAGTTTAGGTCAAGTTAAAGGTCGCTGATACCACACATTACTTACACGAACGAACTCGTGAGTAGTTGTCACCTACGTGCCTTAAACGTAAGATTCATGAATTATAAACGAACGATTGCTTTGAAGTTGATTTAAATTACTTTGTGAAATACAATATATATTTTAACATTATGTCCTTGAAAAAGTATTTAGGATATTTATTTTCAAAAAATTAAATTATTAAAATTATGCATCATATCATTTTATTCAATCGAAATTTCATTTCATCAAATTCAAAAAATGTATTATTTGTCGCCAATTTTCGTGTGTTATATTTTAGATCATAATGCGAACTCTCTTTTTTCGAAGACCGAAAAAGCAGTTGATACTAGGTGGTCTTCTAGGAATCTTTGTAGTCTTATTTTTCCTTGCACGTTATCATGCTCCTGAGAGAATTCATGTATCTCTTTCTGCTGGTGGTAATGCAAATCCATTAAGAGGAAGGCTCCAGAATGATCGGGAAGAAATCCCATTAGCTGTAGCTTTAGCCCGGGATCGCGACAACGCAAACATCAAGAAGAACAAATTAAAATTTAAAAATAACGTTGATGTTGTTGCTCCAGATCAAATTGCAGATTTTATTAAGGAGCATAGGGGTCCGCATCAACCAGCTGCTGTAGAGAAGCACTTCGGTGTTGGAGGAGATGGTGATGTAAATATTCATGGTGTTCCCTTACCTGATAATGCTCAAGTTGCACAAGATTCTCTTCAGGCCATACATGATGCTGCAAAGGTGCATGAAAATCAAGAAGAGGCAAATCTTCCAGTTCCGGATAATATGGAGCCTGATGCCAATCCCCAGAATGATCCAGCAGAACGTATTGAAAATGAAGAGGATGATGGTGGCATTCCATTCCATCTTACCCCTCGACGACCCCCAGAAAAGTCTTCATCATTGACAAAAGGACCTGGTATGTCGCTTGTTGTTTTTGTACTTTTTCGCTATCTGCAGTATAACAATACACTTACTTATAACATTTCTAATTTCTAAATAAAAGGAAATGACTTTAGATCACTTACTTTATTTCAGTATGCTATTTGATTTTATTTCAAATCACTATATTCATATGCTACCTTAAAGTTAGCTTATTGTACCGCTTTGGTTGTAATTATTTATTTTAATTCTTATCTATCTCACTAAAAATTTTATATGTGAATTTGTTTCATATGCATCATTTTTAAATTAATTTTTTATTCCACTTTCTCAATAGTTCAACATATCCGTTTAGTAAAGTTTTGATAGCCTGGTTATAGTTCATGTAGTATGGTTTATGATATCATCGCCGTCTAGGTATGCTGTGAAACGCTTGTCTACCCGTGTTATTTTCTATGAACGTTATCATTTTTTGTTCTGCTTTTATTTATTAACTTCTACATTTGGTTTCCATTTTACCTCTAAATTAAAGAGATCATTTTGGCTTCAATGTGGAGAGAGGAGGTGTTTGTGAGTTGCTCTAATGGGAAACGCACATTCCACTACCTCCCTTGTTGTCTAAGATTTGGTAAAATCGACCCGTTACTCACGTCAATCGAAATTGTGTGTGTTGACATTAATCTCCCGATCTTTTGATTTCTCTTTTCTATAATTTTTTATTCGGGGTGTGCGATAGACTTACCTCCACGTGTTGCCCCCTGGCCAAAGTATACTCATAAGGCAAAGAAGTCGATAAAGCGGCAGTTGACCTCTCACTTTAAACTAGCATATTCGAATACTTTCACAGTACACACCTCACCTTTTCTACCTTTGTGTCTGTCTCTTTATCTTGCTATTCCCCCTCCCGAATTCTTCTCACTTTGATGTTTCTCCTCTCTCTGTGAAGCCTGAAGTCAGCTAAGAGGCTAATGGTAATTATCAAAACGCCTGTCATTTGAAATAAATAATGTTTTATTCACAATACCTCAATTACAGCACCAATATATCAAGGGTTTTAAACTCTTATTGGCAAGTCGTTCCCTTTTTATGACGCAAGTTGTTGCCAATGTAAGCTTACCATTTCTCCTTGGATCGGTTTACATATTCCACACTCGAAGGACTTTAAAATTTTTATCCGTTTTTATCAATGCTGAATTGGTGAATCCGGTTTTGGCTTTTTTAGCCAAGCACTGGTAAAACCTATAACGATATCATGATGAATATTCTCCTTTTCTATTATTTACCGATTGCTACTCCACTATTGTTACTTTGGCACTATCTACGAGTAATAAGTTAGATCGTAGTATTTGCATTAAGAGCCTAGCTAATCCTAACTTGTTTGCTTGAGTTCATATTGAACGCTGTCTATGTAAACACTGATTGTAATATATCATTGCATATTTAACAATTTGGCATTTTTTAATGACTTAACTCTGGATCCTATGATAATTAAATATTCTCATTATATTCTATTTCCATCATAGTGATTGTGTGGATTAATTTAACTTAAATATTTCTTTCTTCAAACTTTAGGTGAAGCAGGAAAGGCTGTTGTGATAAACAAGGAATCCCTTTCATCGATCGAACGCGAGAAATACGAGGAAGGTGAAAAGAACAATGCCTTCAACGAATATGCTAGCAATCTTATCAGTGTTCGTCGCTACCTTCCGGATATTCGCGAAAGCCAGTAGGTGCATTGATTTATTGATTATCTTAACTTTCTATTGCGTATAAGAATTAAACTTTGAGTGCTTCAAAATCAAACCGATTGGTTTACTAGCGATTTCCATCTGTATCTTCCACCTTGTCAAATTTAGATTAAGTGGATTCGTTTATTGTCACGGAACAGGGTGGTTTTGTTGTGCCCATTAGGTGGATCTAACATATAACCAGATTTAACCAAGTAGTTATAAAGGTCGCGCCTTTGATGCCGTGAATCCCTCCTCTATTGCTTTGAACAAGTATGTGTTTTGTGTATCTGTATGCGTAAATTAGGTGCCACGAATGCCATATTACACTAAGTAATAAATAGTCAAAATTGCGGACAAAACATCAAGCACCCCCTCAATTGGCAATTATGTGGGTGTTTTGCATGAGATTCGAGTTTCTTGTGAGAGATTGTAGACTTACATAAAGGGCTTGCGTGCACTGCCAAGAGGTTTCCAAATTAGTCTCTCAGTTCTGCTACTTTTGTTTGTTGTTTTAAGATTTCCTTTGTCTGAAGGCCATTTATCATAACATGCTCATTATGTTACGGCCAAATTGCACGTAGTTCGCGCTTCGTCGATGGCATATTAAATGTCCCATTACCGATTTGGGCGATTCTAACTATAATAGTTGTTGGAAAGGCATGTCCGATCATTCAATCTAATCAATTAGATTTTGACAGCGCATGTTCGGACTCTCTCGCTAATATATGGTGCCAAACACTGAAATTTGAGCTTGTCTGCACATTAGGACATGAGGCTGTGTGAGTTTAAAGGGTGAGTAGTCTGATGTGTGTAGAGCCAGAATGAATGCAGCCTTTGTTATTATTCTGGCTTTGTTCTCTCATTTTACTCGCTCTTTTCTCTCCTTTATCATTTATTGGTCTCGTTAACCTTTGGCTACTTTTCTCGATTGTTTTTTATGCGTTTTTTTTGGTATGTAAATCAAATAGCCTTAATGCGTGTAATCCAGTGCTGAAGCAATTATCCTCTATAATGTTAATTAGTTAATTTAATTAATATTACATGAATATTTTGAATACCTATCCGTAGTAATTGCAAATGTGCCTTAAAGAAACCTTAGTTGTTCTGTGTGATCTTCTTCACACACCATTGCAAGGCGAGTGCCTATAAAAAAGGCGGGAATCTTCAGGTGGATTTCTGGTGTCACGAGACGAAGAAGAACACGATGGTCAATATTTTAAATGCCTTGAATTGGCATGTTTTAATCTGCCATACATTTCTCTAATTCAAATAATTTAAAGTAGGGCTAATGATAAAAATATCACAAAGCCTGCCATTTGAAATAAATTGGTATCATTAGCCCTTTTGTTGACTTCGGGCTTCACAGAAAGGAAGATGAACATCAAAGTGGCAAAAAGTCGAGAGGGGGACAGAACAATGTTTCACAGATGTAAAAGAGATAGACAGATAGACACAAAGGTAGAGAAAAGGTAAGGTAAGATGAGTACTGCGAAATTATTCGAATATGAAATGCAGTGGGGTCATGGTTGTTTGAAGTCAGAAGTCAATTGCCGGTTTATTGACTTTATTTGCCGTATGAGTATACGTTGCCCAGGTAAGTCTATCGCACACCCCCATTTGAAATAAATTAATGATTTAAAGTTTGCATCAGATTTTAAGGTCAATCTATTTCTGATACACAGATGACCTAACTGTGATGTCATGTTTGGGCGTTCATGATTTTGATTGGAATAGCCAATCGCGCTGTTTGGCTTTTGTCACTAATAAGTCGCGTGGGGCTCAACGTCTACGTCTGCATATCCAGAGGTCACATTTCGTGAACGGCAGGGTCAATCTAACGGCCTGGAACTATTTGATAGGGGG